TGGGAGGTCTCCAGGTGCCACTTGGAGGTTAATTAACAAAACTGCAGCACTGTGTATATAATTATATATAAAGTATCAATTCTGATTTCTTTTAACAGTATTTGCAATCCGGTTTGAAAGCCAGTTTGGTGTAATGGTTAAGTGCGCAGACTCTAATCTGGGAGGACTGGGTTTGATTCCCCACGCCTCCATTTGCAGCTGCTGGATGACCTTGGGCAAGCCGTAGTTCTGACAAGAGCTGTCCTTGAAAGAGCAGTGTGTGTCAGAGTTCTCTCAGCCCCACCTACCTCACAAGGTGTCTGTTGTGTGGTGGGGAAGGGAAAGGAGTTTGTCAGCCGCTCTGAGACTCCGAGTGAAGGGCGGGGTATAAATCCAATCTGTTCTTCTTCAATCACTTATATGTAGTACTTTATTATGGTATTCTTTGAAATAAAGACAATGTATTACAAAATATGTAGATTATATCAAAGTAAACATAGAAAATTACAGGGCTTCCGGTCTGGACTTCGTGAATGGCAGACGCATCTTCGGGACGCTCCCGAAGTCGTTTCGCCCACGCGCGGCCAAGAGGGGGAATCCGCACAAGCGGAGACCCTAAGGACGGCCTCTCTAGCAAAAGGCTCCGTGGGTTTAACCCCTTCCAGGGCTGCAGAGGAATGCAAACTGTGTCCTCCGTCCGGTCCCCTCAAGGAGGAGCTTCAGCCGGGCCACCCTCCCGCCACACCCCCCCTGCACCTCCCCCTCTGCCGCCGGGTGCAGAGAGTTCCTCTCGAGCAGGCCGAGCCAGGAGTGGGGGGGTACGGAAAAGAGGAGGGGGCAGTGTTGTTTGTTTTTAAACGAAGTGTGCGCATGCGCCGTTGGGTGCTTGTGCGCATCCCGTGGAGACTTGGGGGGGAAACCCTTTTAGCGACGGGACATGGGCGGGTGCAGGATGCCACGACCTACCACCGAAAACGTGATCAGGCGCTCGCCCTTGCCCCGCGGTTTCCGGTTTTTTACCCTGCATCTTCGGCGGGAAGCCTCGGGTTCGCCACGGGAGCTCTATGCTTCCCAGATGTGGCGCTGTGATCGCGCCCGGAAAATCCGCCTATCTTCCGTCTCTGTAGTGTGGCTAATGTTCCGTGTGACCGCAGCCACAGAAGATTAAAGCATATCATCACAAAATACCACATAAAAGTGATTGCAAAGACTGTTAAAAGAAATAAGAATCCATACTTTATATACAATTATATACATGGTGCTGCGGTTTTGTTAATCAGCCTACACACACCGTGGCCCTCTTGCTGTGTTGTGCCACTTGGAGGTTGGCAACCCTATGAGTTGGGAAGGTTCCCTTGGGGTCTGTCAGACCGTAAAGCTACAACAGACCTTCTAGATCTCTAGCAATGGGAGAGAACCCTTACCCTGGAAGAACTGGGCCCTTTATCAGTCACCGGGGTCATTTCCTGCAGGAGCGCACAGGAGCGGAGCTCCAACAGTAAAGAGCCCAGGGGGCGGGCACATACAGCAAGCCCCACCCCCTGCTCCCAGCAGCCCTTAGTCAGAGCAAGAAGCAGCCAGGTAAGTTGCAGAGCCCCCTCGGCCCAAAACTGTCCAGTGGCACCTTTAAGACCAAGTTTTATTCAGGGACAAGCTCGCACTCCACTGCGCGGGCAGATCTGCACCTTCCCCCCCCCCAATAGCGAGCAACCCAAAACAGTCCAGTGGAGCCTGAGCGGTGGGTGTTGCCTTCTGACACACTTCCGGTGATGTCAGGGGGTGTGGCATATGCAAACAAGTTATGCTAATGAGTTTTGCTAATGAGCTCCTGTGCCTCTTTTTCTACGAAATGACCCCTGTCAGTCACTAATTCCATGCAGGGGGGGACCTTAGGCCCGATCCAGCCCGTTTCTCTCTTAGATCGTAAAGCTACACAGGGAGGCTGGGCAATGCAGGATGCTGCCTCATGGTGGCAAACCTCCCTCTTGTGAAGGACCAGGTGCTTTCTCAGCTCTCCACCCTCCCTCCCACACTTTCCCCTAGCAATGACCCGAGTTAATTACGGCCTGGGCTGTTCGGGAACACTAAGAAACAGCTGTGCTATTTTAGTTGCTTGCTTTCACACCCAGGCAGCCTGGGAAGGTAGAAAAAGGACCTGAGGTAATTTCTACCGTGTTTCCCCGAAAATAAGACATTGTCTTATATTTATTTTTTCTCAAGAAGACACACTAGGGCTTATACCACAAATTCATAGAAATCCTGCTAGGGCTTATTTTTGGGGTAGGTCTTATTTTCGGGAAACCAGGGTACTACTTCCTCGGTTCCTCCTTTCCCAGAGTGATTCACACCAACAGCTTCGTTTCACAACAAACAGAATAAGGTTCTTGCCTCTGACTGAGGAAGAAGACATTGTATTTATACCCCGCCCTTCACTCGGAGTCTCAGAGCGGCTCACAAACTCCTCTCCCTCCCCCTCCCCACAACAGACACCCTGTGAGGTAGGTGGGACTGAGAGAGCTCTTGACAGAAACTGCTCTTTTTTCAAGAACAGCTCTTATCAGAACTACGGCTTGCCCAAGGTCATCCAGCAGGTGCAAGTGGAGGAGTGGGGGAATCAAACCCGGCTCTCCCAGATTAGAGTCCGCACACTTAACCACGACACCAAACTCGGGGCCGGCCCAAGGGGGTTTGTGTGCCCTAGGCGAGGCCGCCTCGTGGCGCCCCCCTCAGATGCCAACCTCCCGGTGGGTCCTGGAGACCTCCCAGCTGGCTGCCTGAGAGGCCCAGCAAGAGTGTGGGTGTGCCACCCCCAGGACTGTGTCCCTCCCACCAGGCAGAGGGGAAGCAGGTTTGACAGCCCAGGGTATCAGCTGGCGGTGTAGGGGCTTCTGAGAGCCAGTTTGGTGGAGAGCCAGTTAGGTGTAGTGGTTAAGTGTGCGGATTCTGATCTGGGAGAACCGGGGTTGATTCCCCCCACTCCTCCACTGGCAGCTGCTGGGTGATTCCCCCCACTCCTCCACTGGCAGCTGCTTGGGCAAGCCATAGTTCTGTCAGAGCTGTTCTTGAAAAAGAGCACTTTCTCTCAGCGCTCTCTCAGCCCCACCCACCTCACAGGGTGTCTCTTGCGGGGAAGGGAAGGGAGAGGAGTTTGTAAGATGCTCTGAGATGAGTGCAGGGCGGGTATAAATCCATCATCTTCATCTTCATCTTCATCTTCTTCTTCTTCCCCAAAACCAGATGGGATGTAGCAGGGCAAGAAAGGGGTTAAGAGAGGAACGAGGCTCAGAGAAGGGGGGCGGCGCTGGACTTGGCTGGCTGGGGTGGAGCCCCAGGAAGTCCCAGCCCGCAGGGGGCAGGCGCAGAGAGATCGCCACCTTTTGCGTCTCGGGATGGATCTTGCGGCAACAAACACAATTGCGGCGACGTCGCCTGACTCTCCAGTGATGCCATTTGGGGAGGGATCGCGGGGGGGGGGCGCCGACAGGATGACACAGCAACTGAGCCACGCCGAGCCAGAAGACGGCGGCTCTCCCTGTCTTGTCTTTGACACGCGAACGCCGGACCAGGCCCGTAGCTAACATGGGGCCCACGGGGCCCGGCCCCCTTGTGTTTCTTCTGGGCCCCCTCCCTCCAGGGCTGCCCCCAAAGTGCTCCAACTTACCACCTGCACTGTACTTCCATTTAATTAGCTGGCGGCCCCCCCAAGGCCTCCTCCCAAAGAATTCCATAGCTACGGGGCTGCGCCGGACATGAACGCCATCCAGACGTTAACCTAACCTCCCACGCAGCTCTTCCCGTTGTCGCAAAGTGCCTGCCAAATATACGACTCGTGTCTCCGCCGTTTTGTAATTCTGTCATTTCGGTCAGGAACTTCCCTTTCTCGGAGAGCCCCAGCCTGGCGGGGTGTGCGCGTCCCTGCCGCCTGCCGCCCTCCCTCTTTCTCTCCCCGCCCTCCCTCCCTCCATGGCTGCTCTCGCCCTTCCCGCCAGCAACTCGGAGTCGAGCGGCGTCTATCCCAGCAGGAGGCGTCTTCTGAGCCACAGGACGGGCGGCGAAATCGTCAAGCCAAACACGGGTGCCCTTTTTCAGACGTGGCGGAAAACGTTTCCCGGAACCAATGCTCCCTCTAAGCTGTGGAGTCTTGTGAGCAGAAATTCTGCCTTGTGAGCTGCTGGCATTAAAGCTGTGAGCGAGCGATTCGGCTGCTGCAAAGATCAGTTTGCGCTGGAGCCCATCCCTTCCTGAGCAGAGACAAAAACGTGTGAGCCTCCTGTGAGCTAGCTGCGGGGCTCAAGTGGTTAAGACGCTGAACTGCAGGCTGTGGAAGGTCAGTAGTTCAACAGCGTTCCGTGCGCCTTGGTGTTTAGTCATGCCGGCCACATGATGGATGAAAAGTATGGAGACGGAAAGTGATTCAGCTCAGCATACCTTTATTTAGTACAGAACAAAGACAACTGACCGGCTCGCACGCCGGTTTATATGCCTTCAGAAAACCCGCCACCAAGCTCACCCAGACACACCCCCTACTCCCGATAGGCTATTTACAGTAACCGCGAGACCTATTGGCCTCCCGGCTGGGAACCTAGCCCTTTCATTGGGCCGGCTAGGATCCTACGGACCCATTGTCTTCAGACTCAAGCTACTAAGGAATTGTGCCTGGCCAGCCCGGCATGGAGTGAGCTCCCATCTCTAGTTCCAGCTCCTGCCAACCTAGCAGTTCGAAAGCAAGAAATTGCAAGTAGATAAATAGGTACCACTTCGGTGGGAAGGTAACAGCGTTCCGTGCGCCTTGGTGTTTAGTCATGCCGGCCACATGACCACGGAAACGTCTTCGGACAGCGCTGGCTCTTCGGCTTTGAAACGGAGGTGAGCACCGCAACCCTAGAGTCGGATTCGACTGGCTGTCGAGCAAGGGAACCTTTACCTTTAGCTCACGCTAACTCAGCTTAGAGGGAACACTGCTTGAAGGGACCTGCGAGGGTGAAATGCACTCCCTTTGATTTTTTCGTCCCTGAAGCGAAATGGCTGGGCTGGTCAACTTCGAGGATGAAGAGGAGGTGAAGGAGTATTTGGATAACCTGGGCGTGGAATACAGTTTCCAGTGCTACAAGGAGATGGATCCTGATGGGTGTCACCGTCTGGCTGACTACCTGGAGGGTGCGAAGAGGAATTTCGAGGCAGCCGCCAAAGCGCTGAAGAACTGTGAGGACAACCGGCACAGTGAGAGCTGCTACAAACTCGGGGCTCACTATATAACTGGGAAAGGTGGCCTGCCCGCTGATTTTAAAAGGGCCTACAGCTGCTTTTTGAAGTCTTGTGAGAAAGGGGGCAAGAAATCCACCGAGGCTTGTCACAACCTTGGGCTATTGGAAGGTGGTGGGCGGGGAAACGACCACCAGCAGCCTAACGCCTCTCTGGCCAGGGACTATTACAGCCAAGCTTGTGATGGTGGTTTCGCTCCCAGCTGCTTTCATCTTAGTGCTATATACCTTCAAGGAGCCCCTGGGGTGCCAAAGGACATGAGCCGGGCTTTGGAGTATTCCCTGAAAGCCTGTGACTTAAGACACATCTGGGCCTGCGCCAACGCTAGCCGGATGTACAGACTGGGAGACGGTGTGGAGAAGAGTGATGCAGAAACGTATTAGCATGTTAGGCCACACCCCTGACAGCACAGCTCATTAGCCTATTAGGTCACACCCGCATGTTACCAGAAGTGTGGTCATCCAGCCACACCCACCTTTTGCTTCTTATTCTGTTTACCTTGTTTGTTGTCAAAACCCAGGGCCTTTTTTTGTAGCAGGAACTCCTTTGCCTGTTAGGCCACACACCCCTAATGTAGCTGTTGGGTGTGGCTTATTATGCTAATGAGTTCCTGCTGGGCGTGGCCAACTCAGGAGCCAGCCGGAACTCCATTCCTGTGCGTACCTGCCCAAAAATAGCCCTGATAATAAGTATTCTGCCTGTTCAGATGGCTTCTTGATAACATTCTTGTTGGGATTCTTATTAAGTAAGTCAGCAGAGTAAGTATTAAGAGACTGAGTCCATGGTGAGTTTAAGAATATGAAAGTTTACTATCAACCTAACATGGGGAAAAGGTACACAGGATATGAAAAATAAGAAACAGCTAAAATGGCTACATCCTTACAGCTACAGGTAAACAGTAGGAATGGTGGCGTCTCCTTCTTCAATCAGAACAAAGACAGGAAGAAGAATCCAATAGGCTAAATACTTGACACATTGATTTCCGATCAGACTGTTAAGTTAGCTCCAAAGTTCCCCGGCATTCTATTGCTCAAACAGATTGGTTACAAACAAAACATGTGACTTCCTGTTGATCATAACAAACATCGTTAACCCTGTAAATACGGAAGTGTTTTAACTTGTAACACCCAACAATTCTGTACAAATTGCTGTTTTGTAAATGACATCTAAATTCTGGGGACACTTCTTTGTAGGACAAAATATGGGAATATCATCTTTAAAACATTAAAAAACAACAACAACCTTCCCTTTCTCCTGCCTTTTCCCAGTAATAGTTTTCTCCTGATAAGTTGCCCACCTCCCAAGTATTCCTTTTATTGGGTTAAATTAAAAAAACCCACACCACTTGCCTTGGAAGCACAGAAGCTTTACGCAATTAGAACTTCTGGCTGCCAGACAATCTTAAGATTGCCTGGCTATACTACACGCACTTCCATATGATAATAATAACCACACAGAGAGCTCGCACTTTGCTCCTCTTTGTTGTTTGGGCCTCCTGACTGGAAGACCCCAGTCTGTCCCAACAAATTCATCTTCTCCTCTGTTGGATTTCCCAGTTTTCCTCACATTTACACCTTCAGCTTAAAAGTAACACCTGCTCCAAATTGGAGCAACTCTGATCAGTTTTTTGGTGGTTGCTGTGCTATTTATCTGTGCTTTGACTTAGTATTTGCTGGTATTTGCTTAGGATGAGTTCCCCCTGCATAGTATTGTACCAAATTCCTCGATAAATTCATTATTCCTTTTTAAACCTTTAAATTAGGTGTCCGTCATCCTTTTCCTCCTTAAAACGTGCTACTCTCAAAGCCACCTGGTAAGGTAAAAGAAACTGAATTTTCATTCTCTGTCCACGGGCTTGCATTCACACAACAGACCCACCCAATTCAGTACCAACCAGTTGCTTCTGATCAGGATGGGTAGCCGTGTTAGTCTGTCTGGAGCAGTAGAAGTGAGCAGGAACTCACGAAAGCTCTGCCACAGATTGTGTTAGTCTTTAAGGTGCTACTAGCTAGTGCTACAGCTGTAGTGGTTAAGTGCGCGGACTCTAATCTGGGAGAACCGGGTGTGATTCCCCACTCCTCCACTCGCACCTGCTGGATGACCTTGGGCAAGCCATAGTTCTGGCAGAGCTGTTCTTGGAAAAGAGCAGTTTCTATCAGAGCTCTCTCAGTCCCACCTACCTCCAATGTTCCCTCTAAGCTGTGGAATCTTGTGAGCAAAATTTTAATCTGTGAGCTCCTGGCACTGAAGTTGTGAGCAAGTGGTTTGGCTACTGCATAAATTAGTTTGTTCTGGAGCCACCCTTCCTGAGCTAAGACAAAAATGTATGAGCCAGAGGCTAAAAAACTGTGAGCTAGCTCACACTACCTCAGCTTAGAGGGAACACTGCCTACCTCACAGGGTGTCTGTTGTGGGGAGGGGAAAGGGAAGGAATTTGTAAGCCGCTCTGAGACTCCAAGTGAAGGGCAGGATATAAATGCAGTCTCCTCCTCTTCCACCTCCTCCTCTTCTCACAAGCAGGGCACTTGGCACTGTGAGGTAGAATGCCCTTAAATATGGAGGGTCCATTGACGACGAATACACCTTGATGGATCCATCCTACATGCATGTGGATGCAGCAGTTCAAGGATCATCTACCTGGGCCTGCATAAAGTACAGAGATGAATTTGCCGGAGAAACGATCAGTAGCTTGTAGCCACAAGGTATAGATGGAACACTGTGTCTGGGGCGGTGATGCTCTGTATTCTTGGTGCTTGGGGTGGCAAGAGTGGGAGGGCTTCTGGAGTTCTGGCCCCGCTGGTGGACCTCCTGATGGCACCTGGGTTTTGGCCACTGTGTGACACAGAGTGTTGGACTGGATGGGCCATTGGCCTGGTCCAACATATTCTCTTATGTTCTTATGTCTGGGGCAGAGCTGCTCTGTATTCCTGGCTTTTTGAGGAGCAACAGTGGTTTTGGTCGCTGGGGATGGCATCTGGGTTTTGGCCACTGTGACAAACAGTGTCGTACTGGATGGGCCATTGGCCTGGTCCAACATATTCTCTTATGTTCTTATGTCTGGGGCAGAGCTGCTCTGTATTCCTGGCTTTTTGAGGAGCAACAGTGGTTTTGGTCGCTGGGTTTTGGCCACTGTGACACACAGTGTTGGACTGGATGGGCCATTGGCTTGTTCCAACACGTCTTCTTTTATGTTCTTTGTGGCTATTAGCCGCAAGGTATGGGCCATTGGCCTGATCCAACATGGCTTCTCTAGATGCTGGGCAAACTTTGCCAGATTAAGCAGGGGGACCCTAGTCAGACATCTTAGTAGTTTCTCCCACTGTGTGTGTGTGTGTGGGGGGCTTCTCTGCTCCAGAGTTACAAGCCAGCTGGTCGAAAACGTCACTGAGGAGAGTTCACTTCTGCCAGTGAATTCCTGTTCCCGAATGAGCAGTGCACACGCAAGAGAGGCAGTAGCTCTTAGCCACAAGGTATAGATAGGAACTCTCAGGCTATGTGATGCTCTGTATTCATGGTGCTTAGGGGGGGCAACAGTGGGAGGGCTTCTGGAGTCCTGGCCCTACTGTTGGACCTCCTGAGGGCACCTGGGTTTTGGCCACTGTGTGACACAGAGTGTTGGACTGGATGGGCCATGGGCCTGATCCAACACGGCTTCTCTAGATGCTGGGCAAACTTTGCCAGATTAAGCAGGTGGACCCTAGTCAGACATCTTAGTAGTTTCTCCCACTGTGTGTATGGGTTTCTCTGCTCCAGAGTTACAAGCCAGCTGGTCGAAAACGTCACTGACGAGAGTTCTGCCAGTGAATTCCTGTTCCCGAATGAGCAGTGCACACGCAAGAGAGGCATCATCTCAACCATCGGGGGACATCTCTGTGTTCCAGAGGTCCTCCAAAAGTTCAGC